CTCAGAAAAGAACCACTCACATCTGTTGATCCACCTCATACATTGCACGCATTTTCGCGGACCAGAAGTGATGAGAACATTCTCAAATTGGACATCCCTGTAGCCATAAAATGCAATCTCTACCGCAATTCAAACATCGTAGGTTGCCGCCACCGCCACCACCACCGCCTTATGAAATACAGGTATAAAAAAGTCAAAGATATAAAAGACGATTAGCTCATATTTACTACAATTATTATTTTCATTTAACTCTTTATTGGCTATACAGAATAAAAAGTTCTTTACTAGAATTAAGGTATTCATAATAACAAATCTGGGCTACTACATATGTATATAAATAACAAGAAAGCTATATATAGTATATTGGCTAACAAGTGCGGGTGATCGTAAATCGGTCGAGAGTGCGGAAGTTTGGCGCACGAGGCGAAGCCGAATTGGTTACGATATTTTGTGTGACCGGTGCGTGGAAAGGGAGCCCTTTCTAAAATCCCATCATGTGCGAAAAGGGCGACTTTCCGCGCACCTGTCGCACAAAATAATTAGTTTTTCTATCGATCTTTTGTATTGAGTCAATCTAACTTAAATAATAGGACTGTAATTATTTAGCTTTCTTGGTTTTTTTATATGCACATATAATAGTCCAGATATGTTATTATGAATACTTTAATTCTAATAAAGGATTTTTCATTCTGTACAGCCAATAAATAATTAAATAAAAATAATATTTGCCGATTAATAGAAACTCAGATAACAAACGTCTAAAATAGGGACATAAGACGTCTTAAAGGAGTCATTAAGATGTTTTAGACATCATATTAAAATATGTCTTTAAGACGTCAATAAGATATCTTCAAGATGTCTTATGTTTTGTTTTTAGACGTGATGTTGTTTGGCAACAGTCAGCATCCCCTTAAAGTTTATTGAGAAATAATTATCTCTTTATGTGTTCTAGAATCTTGATAAAAATCAACCATTACCATCAGTTTCTTCGATAACGACTCCATCATTGATCACAAAAATGAATAAACCTAACAAATCTAGCAACGGCATGAAAGATAGTGACGAGGGAAAGACCGACGATATGTTAGACATCCGAACACTTCGCGAGAAAAGTCGCAACTTGGATTTACCATTAATTGCCGCACTGTGCAACGATCAATACTTGTTGAAGCAAACGAAGGCCTTTGTCTTGCCGAAGCATCCTAGCGAGGCCACGTCTACGCCAACATCCATGAAGAACAGCATACGGGCAGCAACGGAGCGACCTTGAGCAGGAACAAGTATCCGGTGAGCGGATTATCAACAACACAAATTCAGAAATCATCTAGGAAATCCTCGACGAGCACTCATAAGCATCTTTCCGAAGCAAAGAGTAGTCCTTATAACGGCAATGCTTCTATTACAGGATTTCAACGAATAAGAAAGACTTCACATCTCATTCCTAACGTAATTCTTAATGTCTCTTCTCTCTCATTTAGGATAAAACTTACATTTTTATCATAATCTCATGATGTTATCGCATTATTGCATTAAGGTGATCCTAAATTCCGTCTTGTTTTATCGATAAAACATTATTTTTGTGCACTCTTTTCTTTTTATTGGTTGAATAGAATAATAAATGCTTTTCCACGATTAAAGTACATATAGAAACAAAGCTCGAACCTACCGATTTTGTTAAAACAAAAAGAAATTTTTAATTAAAATAAAATAAAAAAATTAAAAATTAAAATTAAAAAATTTTAATTTAAATTTAAATTTAAAAATTTAATTAAAATTAAAAAGCATTTATTATTCTATTCAACCAATAAAAAGAAAGGGTGCCCAAAAATTATGTATTATCGATAAAACAGGACGGGATTTTAGGATCCCCTTAAGTTTCACCAATATAACTATAGTACAAGGTATATACGGTAAGGAAACGTATGACAAATTAAAACTATCGTTCCGGCAAACCGTGCTTCTCCAACTCAGAGTGCCATTTTATTTGTTCGCTGCATTTTTCTTTAGTCGAATGACTCTTCAATGACAACTAAAACGATTGAGTGTCCAGATCGTGTATATAAATTGCTCATGAATGATAAACATAAAACATTTCAATCATTTGTACTATTCATTTTTATAGAGCTTTTGTTGTAAATTACATCCCAAATAGCAAACTGACGTCATTGAACATCAAAATGGCGTCATTTTGAGATTTAATGACGTCGTTTGGCATCAAAATGGCGTGTGTTTATCTTATCTGGGATGTGTTTGCGCAAAAAATGCTTTTTTATATACAACATTCTTAATAGTTAACTTTTAATAGTTAAGTGGCATTAAGGACTTCAAAAATGTTTATGACCTTTTGCTCAATTATACGACTGGTACAGAGATATACGAATAAAATTCGATTTATACGCCCCGATAAAGGCGGCACTAGTCCCGCTCATTATTGTTAAGGTAAACTGTAGAGTTTATTGGCCATTATGTGATCAAATCATATTATATATTTTAAAAAGTTGATTGAGAGAGTTAATAAGATTTTATAAGTTTATTAATTAAAAAAGTTATTTCATTTAAAAAAAAAAAAAAAATATATATATATATATATATGTATGTATATAAACTATGTGTTGCTTTTATGTTATCAAGACGCAAGAGCATATTTTTTTGTTTGAAAAAAAGGAATGTTTTTTTATAAATAATATTTTTATAAATTTTAATTATATTTATAAATTTTATAATTTTTAATATTAATTTTTATTATTAATTAATTAATATTTATTTATTACTATTTTTAAAAATTAGGTCTCTAAACAAAAATTTTTGAGTTAGAATTGTTCGAACAATTCGAATTAGAAACGTTCGAGTTTTGTATTTGAATAGTTCATATAAAATCAATTATTAAAATTTACAATGTCTCTTTCTCTCTTGCTCAAATGTTGAATAAGTCAGAGGTCAAGGATATTTTGACTAAATATAATATTGCAAATAATAAATTCTTTTATTATAATACATACGTTTGTATATGTATTATAAAAATTAACAATTTATTTACAATGCACAATTCGTTCTTATATGAGCACAAAACATTTTAAATACGCAGTATTAAGATGTTAGGTCAATTTATTAATTAGGTCTCAAAATCACCTAAGATCATATTTAAAATGATTTTGAATATATAAGAATGAATAACTAGCATGGTATAATTTTAATTTATTCAAATTGATCAAACTGTTCAGATATATTTTCAAAAAAAATTCTAATAGGAATAATTTAAACTTGAAGATTAAGCTGTTTAAATTCTTCAATTATCAAAAAATTAGGCATATTAGCAAAAAGAGAATTAAATAAAAATAAATCAAAATAAAATAACTTTACTTGCATTTTATAATATACTATTCTAAACAATTAAGAAACTGCGTCTATAAATATAATTATCATCTAGTAATTGATATTTTAAAAACTGTATAGTATACAATTTCGGGAGACAAAAAAGATATATATATAGAATATAACATTTTAATCGTAAATATGTTTGTGATTTATTAACGATTCTGAAGATAAGGAAATATCATTTAGATGGCCAATAATATATAGTTTATTTATGTTATAAAAAGGAAACGGATTTCCTTAGATAGAATAAGCACGAAGAATTATATCTATAATTTGAAAAAGACATACATATAATATTGTAATTAAAAAAATAGTATACCCCTATATTAGAATGTATTTTCAGGAGTAATATTTATTACCGACCAGTTTCTTGTCCTTATATATTTTAATATTTTAATCAGTGCTTGTTTTATAGTACTATTATTAAAGTATCTTTTGTAAGTGCACATATGATGCTGTTATATAGTATAATTGATTTTTGTATTTTTATAATCAATGTAGCTTAATATTGTATAAGCTACTATAAATTCACTAACATAATAAAAGAGATGTCATGAAATTTATATATATTAAGTTCCCAGGTATTTTATTGTAGAATGCATAACAAAAGTAATACTATTATGTTATATTGAGAAAGGATATGTCTCAATATCTAATCGAAAAACTCAAAATAAATGTGATTTTTTATATAAAAAAGTTGTAAGAAAAGAAAATTAATCAAAAAGTTTGCTAGTTTATGCAATATATAATACACAATAGATACTATTTTCCTAAATTATTTCAAATGTTTATAGAATATATAATAAATGTCTGTCAAATTAAAGAACTCATTAAATTATTATATTATTTGCAATTACATATGTACAATTCTGATATAATTTTGAATCATATAATAATATACTATATACTCAGAATTATGAACAAAAATTAATAAAACAATTTAATCGTAAAAATAATAAATAAAAAAATAATATTAATTGTAGTTTAAGATTTTAATATTATAAATTATACTTTTCTGTACATAATATTATATATATACAACGATATATATGACTATTAGAATTTTATATGTAAAAAATCTCGTGAAAATTCGTTTATACATGCATTATTTCAGCTATAAATAAGTAATAAAATCTTTTGCAATAAAAAAATAATTTGTAGAAATATAATTTTTGTGTCACATACATACATATATTTTTATTGTTTTGTATACATCAATATGTAGTTGATTGTGATTGGTTGGCCATACAAGAAAAGGTTCATTTCGTGATATTTTTCTTAAAACAGTATAACTTTATCAAAAAAAGACCGTAAAAATATAAATTTATTTAAGAAATAAATGTGCTTGAAAATTCATACATTTTTGTACTAAGAAACTCTTTTGAGCCATATGCAACAGTTAAAAAAAACATTTTTCCCCCATTTCTCAACGTTTATCTTAAAAGTTCGTTATTTTGTAAAATATTTTTTGTAATTTGACTTTTTGAGTTGTTAAGAAAAATGTTCATTTTATTGCGGTTGAATATTATTTATGATTAGAAAATTATAAGTAAAACTAGCGATTTTTTAAATTATATATCCTATGTGAAAAAATGAATATAGAGTATAGAACTTAATGAGGCCATTTTTGCGCGGGACAAAAGGCTATAGCACACGGATTTCCATGCCATAAAACATAGCCATAATATATAACATAAGCTCAAGAACCAATCAGATACTTGTTTTAGATTTAATATGCTAAGGAAACGGAAAATTACTAAAAATTTAAGCGTAAGAAATTTCATGAAATTCTTCTTATGCTTAAGTTTTTAGTAATTTTCCGTTTCCTTATAGTATATTAAATCTAAAACAACTATCTGATTGGTTCTTGAACTTATGTTATGTATTATGGTTATGTTTTATGGAAATCCGCGTGTGCTATAGCCTTAAGGAATATGCTTTTTTAATAAAATTAAGAAAATAAATTAATCAAATTATTTATATATTTATGTAATTTAGCTACTTGCCAATAACATAAAATATGTAGCACACATTTGTAATACATGTCATATTTTGATTAATTTGGCTATCTGAATATACATATATAGTTTTTAAGTAGTTCATTTTTCAATTATTTTATTATATAATGTGTGTAATGGTAATAAAAGAATAAACAGATTTATATTGCTCAAATATACAAGTTTACAACAATTTTGAGATATCTCACACATTCTAATATATATTTTTATACAGATTGTATATATATTAGAACTTTAATACATCACACACTTTGTAATGTGTAATATATTATTGTTTTAAATATTATACACAATGCAGAAAGCCATTACATGTGTACATACATATACATATACAGATATAACTTCGAAAATTATTTACACTTCGTTACAATAGTTTAATTCACGTCTATTTGCACGTCTAGTAATTATAAACACAGAGAAAGAGATTATAATTGATTATAATTGCGATTTAAAATATGATTTATATTTTAAAAAGCTCACGTTAGATATCTATAAATTGCGACAAAATTCAGAAAACAAAATTCTATTTATAAATTTTAATTTTAAATTTCTCTATTTTACAATAGAGAAAATATTTAAGAGCGCATATATAATGTATTAAAATCAAAATTTAAATAAATAAATATATTTATTTATTTTAAATTTAAAATAATATATAAATATATATTTATTTAAATAAATATATATAATATATATAAAATATACATATATATTCGATTTATTTAAAAGTAAATAGAACACTTTTTGTGTTTTGAATTTAGCGCACATATATAAAAACAAATTATTTATTTGATTAAATACTATTCCAGGTACTAATTATACACACAAACATACACACGCACACACGCACGCACACGCGCGCACACATACACATAATCATTTTTTCTACTTTCTCTTTTTTACCATCCTTCCTCTCTTTCTCCCTCTTACCTTTATCTTTATTTTTTCTTTATGTTCCTCACTCTCTTATCTCTTTCTCTTTTACTGCTTATCTTTTTGGCACATGAATTCACTTTTTGTTATGTTTGAAAAATCGTTTTCGATAGTTAAACTACAGTTTCTAATCGAGAGAAACATCAGATAAACAAGAAATATTTTCTAAGATATATCTACTATAAACTGCGTAATACTGCCTATTACATGCGACATTTATACATTTTTATAGTGAAAATAATATTTTGCACATATATATAGTTCAAAAAATATAATGATTTGACATTAAAGAAAAAATATACGTATTACACATAAAAATCGCACATAGAAAAAATTAATTGTATGGAAACTTTATACTATGCTTATATATCTCTTCACTATTATGAAATTTACACAGATAAAAATATTTTACATCAATATGTTTATAATATTTCATTTGTTCATACTATATCAGATATATCATACATATATATTTATCAGAAATTTGTTGTGATAAAAACTAATAGATTTTCCAAAATATTATTATTCTCTTTTGACAACAAAGTTTGTAAAAGAAAGTTATACAGTATATATGATAATCTCTAAAAACTCACCTTTAAAAAAAGGTAAAAAAAGGCGACCAGTTAAGGGCACGCCATTAACAAAAATTATCCATTGCAAACCCATGTAGAATCCTATCCTATTGCAAACCCATGTAGAATCCTATGAAAAATTAATCATTGCAAACCCATGTAGAATCCTAGGCAAAATTAACCATTGCAAACCCATGTAGAATCGTACCCATTGCAAACCTATGTAGAATCCTATGAAAAATTAACCATTGCAAACTCATGTAGAATCCTATGAAAAATTAACCATTGCAAACCCATGTAGAATTGTATTAAAAATTATCCATTGCAAACTTATGTAGAATCCTACATTGCAAACCCATGTACAATAGAATTGTATGAAAAATTATCGATTATAAACCCATGTACAATCGTAACAAAAGTAATGAAATAAAAAAAAAATTGCGCCAAGTGAAAGTAGAAACTTGTACCAGTGGAAAATTAAAGTTGCAGACATATATAGAGTCGTATAATGAATCAGTAAAAATTTAAATTTGCAAATGTAGAATCGTACCATAAAAAAACTTATCTTTTAAAAAAAAAGATAAACAAGATGCCAAGTCCATGCGCCATGTGAAAAAGAAATAAAAAAATTTTAGTTAAAAAAACTGGGCGCGCTGCTAAGTTTCAAAATTACAATGCACCTTAAAGTAACATTAATTAATTTAAACACAAAACATATTTTAACTGTAATGAGTTTAAAAGTAACAATTTAATTTTAATATTGTTAGAATATTATTTAGCAGCGCTCCCAGTTTTTTTAACTAAAATTTTTTTATTTCTTTTTCACATGGCGCATGGACTTGGCATCTTGTTTATCTTTTTTTTTAAAAGATAAGTTTTTTTATGGTACGATTCTACATTTGCAAATTTAAATTTTTACTGATTCATTATACGACTCTATATATGTCTGCAACTTTAATTTTCCACTGGTACAAGTTTCTACTTTCACTTGGCGCAATTTTTTTTTTATTTCATTACTTTTGTTACGATTGTACATGGGTTTATAATCGATAATTTTTCATACAATTCTATTGTACATGGGTTTGCAATGTAGGATTCTACATAAGTTTGCAATGGATAATTTTTAATACAATTCTACATGGGTTTGCAATGGTTAATTTTTCATAGGATTCTACATGAGTTTGCAATGGTTAATTTTTCATAGGATTCTACATAGGTTTGCAATGGGTACGATTCTACATGGGTTTGCAATGGTTAATTTTGCCTAGGATTCTACATGGGTTTGCAATGATTAATTTTTCATAGGATTCTACATGGGTTTGCAATAGGATAGGATTCTACATGGGTTTGCAATGGATAATTTTTGTTAATGGCGTGCCCTTAACTGGTCGCCTTTTTTTACCTTTTTTTAAAGGTGAGTTTTTAGAGATTATATCATTCATTTTTGTATATTTTTATGACCGGAATAGAACAATTATTAAACATGTTTATCTAAACTTCTTTGCTTAAAATGATGTGTACAATCATATCCTAGAATCCTGATCATTCCTCCTAAAGCACCCTATTTATATAAATTTACCCATATGTGTGTGTGTGTGTGTGTGTACTAATGTCGAGCATTTTTTATACATTTTCTATTAAATTTAGATAAAAGTTGCAGGATTTCGAAAAAGAAAAAGTTGACACAGACTTTTTCCTAAACGGCGATTTTCAAGGTTATTTAAAGGTCACTTATATTTTCAAAATAGAATTACCTTAATTTTTCTCATATAAATCGATTCCTCGCAATATTTACTATAAAAAGTTGTAAAGGTATAATTTTTACATAATCTTACATAAACTTCGAAATATTACAAATATTTTATTTTATGAAATATTTCAGTTTATGTAAAATTATGTTAACTATCTTTTAAATTATTCACTTTTAGCCATCTTACCCTTACAACCTTTTATAGTGAATATTGCAACAAATTGGTTTATATATATAATATATATATAACATCAGTTATTATTAATTGATGTTTACATTTATTTTTAGACTTACTAGAGCTCAAATGCTCCACATTTTTTGCAAAAACTGTTTATTCTACAGATTTCAAATATGCTTTTAAATGATGATTGAATATTTCCTTTTTTTAATTATTTTTATTATTATTTTTCAATCTCAATCAACTTTTATAACTTTATGCCAGCACGATACAAATACATGTGTCTTTATTTTTTTTATTATTTTCATTATTATTTTTCAATCTCAATCAACTTCTATAACCTTATGCCAGCAGGATACAAATACATGTATGTCTTTATTATTGTATCAACTCTTGTCTTTTCCATGTAACCATGTCTTCATAGTTTGAATTATCCCTTCATCTTCTCAATCTTTCGCAGAGATTTAATTAATTAAATACACTTCACACGAAATAAAGTTTGCTGGAAGATATACAGCAAACGATAACTGTAAAAACATGATTACGTGGAAAGAACAAGAGTTGGTACAGTAAAGGCAAGTAAGTAAGTACATGTAATGTATCGTATTGGCATAACGCTATATCCGCGGAGCAGATAATGTGGCTGTAGAGGTAGTCTGCAGTGCAGCTAATGTGGACGTAGATGTTGATTGAGATAATTGTCTAATATAAAATAGAATTTAAAAATTTAGTTTAAAAAGCTGTTGCATATATAAATAAAGTTTATTTTTTCTAAATTTGGAATATGTTTAATTAATTAATTTTTTAAGTCTATGTTTAATAAATTTTTTAAGTCTGTATTCAATAATTTTATTCATTTGATAAATACATGTATGTCTTTATTTTGATATGTTTAATATAATTAGAAATTCATTATTAATTAGATATGTAAACTATAAATTCATATATAATATTTGAAAATATATGTGAATATTTAAATTTTTATCTTCTCCTTCCTCTCCTTCAATCTCTTTAATATCAATATGTGTATGTGTGTACACGCGCGCACATTTGTACGTATTTATTTAATTATTGGATAGTTGAGAGTACTTAATTGATAAAAAATTATGACAATAATAATCCTTGTTTTTTTTTCTTATTATTTACTCAGATTTTTTTGTCTATCTTATAAGATAAACACTTTAGAGATTGAATATTTCAAGTAAACTAATTGTAAGTAAATTTCACATTAATGCATATAGATGTTTAATCATGAATGTACTAAATAAGTACACAAGACGAACAGTGAGTGAGTGAGTGAGAATGAGAGAGTGTGTGTGTGTGTGCGTGTGTGTGTGAGAAAGAGAGAGAGAGAGAGAGAGAGAGAGAGAGAGAGAGAGAGAGAGAGAGAGAGAGAGAGAGAGAGAGAGAGAGAGAGAGAGAGAGAGAGAGAGAGAGAGAGAGAGTTAGCCAACATAACCCCGCACGCTGCCGATATGGCGGAGCGCCACTATCGCCATCTGTTGTAAAACGTGCGAGATGGACAAAATTACCACTACATGCATCTTGCATGTGTTGTGTACGTGTGATATATGTGTGCGCATGTGTTGTATACGTGTGAATACGTGTAACACGATACTACTATGTATGCGTGGTCGATGATGATAATGACGGGGACGTTTCTTAATAGAAATTTTTCATATTTCGACTTTGCATTTATATATCTCTGCTTACAAATCACGTAGAGCAGAAATAAAGACACTTTTATTATATAATTCAAACTCAATCTATCGATTAAGTCTAGTATAAACTCGATTGCTTCAGCCATTATTGAGGATTCGAAATATTATAAAGACTCACATGTCCGACTCGCGTTAAGATACACGGTGTCTCCGCTACGCCCTTAACTGGTCGCGAGACACTACCGTGTCTCTTAATAAAAAAGTAGATATATTTCCATGAAATACATTACATGAAAAAATAAGAACGCTTTTTTCTCGTCAATAATTGTTTAATTTAAAAATGCTATATTTTAAATATATTAGAAAATGTATTTAAAAAAATTGTTATAAAATTGCAGGTAATATAGACAAGTTGTTCTTTAAAAGTGTTCACTTTTAAAAAGAAGAGATACTTTGCATTTAAAATTCTTTTCTATTATTTTATTTCATTTGATTAAATCATTCCGCGATTATTTTTCATCACATTATATTTTTAACTTAAATAATGCTTAATGAGTAAAAATCATTCCTTATTTTTTCTTGAGTAATGTATATTCCCGTTAAAAAATTTTATTTTATTTTAACATGGAACATTAATATTGCAGTTACTTCATATTTAAAAATGTGATATTTTTACACCTTATAAGAAAAGTATGATAAAGCAATAAGAGATATGAATTCTGAAATATATAATTTCTCAATAGCGATTTAAATACAAATTAGCAATTTTGACAAATAAAGATTAAAATAATAAAAAAGATCATATATTGGTATTTTTTAATTTTGCAAATAGACTTTTAATACCAATATATTCTCATTCTTTCATTTTACTATAATTACTTTTAAAATTCCACGATAGCAAGACACAGAAATGTAAAATAATTAAAACAAACGTAATTATATGTTACGATTACATCAAAATGCGGCGTAAAAAATTGTTGAAATAATATGTGCCTTTCTTCTAATTTTACGATTTTATATATACAATGTTATCACAGAGATATAAAGAGCTACGATTCTTTTCATTATAGATTTTATATAAATAAAAATATATAATATCTCGACTAACTACGTTTAGCGTGAAAAGTGTAGCTTTTCCAGCGCCAATACCACCCCATCTCAATCTGATTAAAACCGATATTGAAAATCGACAAACGATGAAAAATGCTGCGTGAATCAAAGCCCACAATTGAAAGATCGGAGAAATGATGAGTAACAATATCGCCATACCTAATAAAAAACAATTTTTAAATTATTTCTTATTATAATTATATATACAAGATTTTATTTATTTTAAACAGTCAAATATTTAAAAATTATAGGATTTAAAAAAATACATTAGGGGGAATTCTTGTCTAATATATATTTCTTTTTAAATCTATTTTTCTAAAATTCCGTGATTTTTATCTATTTGACTGTTCAAAATAAAGCTGGACATCTTGTATATAATACCCCAGATAGGAAAATATATGCATTTTGTACTCATATTGTACTCATATTTCTTAAAACATGATGACAAAAATAGACACAGATGCAGGTTCATATGCTACTCAAAACATGGACATATTACATCTTTAAAATTTTAGCAACAATGTCATTATGAGTACATAAATATGCTCAAATTAATATCTGAGCTAACATTTTTCATCATATGTATGTATATAACTTGTGCTCATGATACCTATCATCATAATAATATGATTACAAGACATACAACACATTTCAATCAATATCAGAAATTCATAACATGATAAAATCTGTTCATCAGGTATTTCTATCTGGGACATTGTAGTTTACAACCAAACTTTTTTCAACAAAAATAAAGTATCAACTTATCGATTTTATGTTAAGAACAAAAAAATATACTTTTAAATTAAGAAATTAAACATTTTTTTTGTTCTTAATATAAAATCGGTAAGTTCGCACTTTGTTTCTATATGTACTTTAATTGTGGAAAGGCATTTATTATTCTGCAATCAATAAAAAGAAAAGGGTGCACAAAAATGATATTTTATCGATAAAACAGGACAGCATTTAGGATCACTTAAGGGAATGCTGACTAGGTCTGTTTTATCTACAAATATTATTTTTATTTAACTCTTTAGTAGCTATACAGAATATGAAAAATCCTTTATTAGAATTAAAGTATTCATAATAACAAATCTAGGCTACTACATATATGTATATAAAAAAGCTAAATAATTACAGTTTTTCTATCGGTCTTTTGTATTGGGTCAACTTAACCTAACTTAAACGATAGAAAACTGTAATTATTTAACTTTCTTGGCTTCCTTTTATATATATACATATAATAGCCCAGATTTGTTATTACGAATACTTTAATTCTAGTAAAGGATTTTTCATTTTGTATAACTAATCAAGAGTTAAATGAAAATATTTATCGATAAAACAGACCTAATCAGCATCACTTTAAGAGGATTTTAAATGTCCTTAAGTTTCAGTCTTGTTTTATCGACAAAATGTGAGGTTAAATAAACTATAAATATATTTATTGACTATACGGATTGATTTTTACCTAAAATTAGAGCGCTTCCACATTTGTTAATATTATTAATACTTTAATTTATACAGAAAAAAGATTTATCAATCTGTACAGTCTCACACTAGTAAAAAAAATTATGTATGGATCATACATTTTTTTCCAAACATTAGAAAAGAAAAATGTCGAACTCGCCCAGTGAGAAAATCACTAAATCATTATAATTAAAAAGACGTTAAATCAACATCTTTTACACCAAATTTTGTGTGTGTGTGTGTGTGTGTGTGTGTGTGGTGGACGTCTTTTTAACTAGTGATTTCTCACTGGGCGCGATCTTAAACCACGTTCACGTAAACGTCTTCTAATTGTTTGATTATAATTATTGATCAAAGTGATTCTGTGAGGGAGATCTTTATTATTTGTCACGCAATCATCGTTCGTGCGCGTCGGGTATCGTTAATAGATGGTGATAATTGCACAAAAATGCATAGATAACTTTGATATGCCGTAACTTTGCTAAAAAAAAATCATATAAACTATACTTTTTTTTAATTTGTAGAAAAATGTCCATATTTTATAAAAATTTGGATAAGATTTGCGAAAAAATTTATTTCACCCCGTAGAGTTCATCAAATTTTGCAATTTTTTGACAAAAAAACACCTTATTTTTTAAAGTGGTAGAGAGAAAAGGAGAGGAGGAAATCAAAATCGAATGAAAGTTTCTTATAATAGAGACTTCGTCCTTTAAAACAAAAAAAAGATTTTTCAAATACGATAATTTTTTGCGGAGATACACTTATTTGAATTTATGCAAAATTTTGATATTATTGCGTGTTGCGATAATTTTTTGACCAGTGTATCTAGGTTATAAAATTATGAACTTTAAGAATTCAGAATTTATAAATATAAAGTATTAATATTAACAAAAGGCGAAGCGTTTCTAATTTCAGGTAAAAAACAATCTGTATAGCTAATAAATAGATTTATAGTTTATCTAATTTCACATTTTGTCGATAAAACAGAACTGAAACTCAAGGAGGTTTAGGATCACCTCATAATAAATGAGACTGATTCATATACCTGTTAATATAGTCCAGAATCCAAACGCGGCCCGTAATGGAAGCGTTTTTGTTACCGGCCAAATTTCGTCGGTGAACGCTTTCCGTTCATAAAATTGCTGCAATATCCCTTCCTTCTCGGACCATTTGTTCTCCAGCCATTTCCTCAAGGTCAAATCGTGCAGGGGTATATTCGTGGACGGTATTCGTCTTATATGAAAGTGCACCTCGTCCGGAAATTTACCCCTGATCAGGTCGACTTCCGATTGTGGTATGTAATCCGGATATGCTATCGTCAAGTCGTACACGGCATCAAGAAAATTCGTCCGCTGAAGATGCTGGGTCAGATAAGCGAAACCTGTCGTTTTCGGGTGCAGGGTGTACGCGTATTGCGGCAACTGATGTTCCACTGCGTACTTGTCCGACTTCTCTTTGCTACTCCTTGTCAGATCGGTGCCCTCGGGAAATATCAGCAACTGGGTGCGATTGTCCAATGCGATCAGGTAGTCAAGGGTACGCGACAGTCGGCCTTGATCCTCTTTCCAACGTCGCGTTATATAAAGGAAACCATTCATTTGCATCATCCATCCTGTTAGAAATGCATAGGAAGTATTACATCCACACATATATATGCATGTGTATATTTGGGACAGCGAAAGTGTGTAATTTGTAACTAGTAACTATGTATGTAAATACTTTTATTCAGGTAACATTATTAAAAAATGGATATTTTACGAGATTTGTCAGTTTATGTAAGATATAATGTAAAAAATATAATAAAATATCCTCATAAATTCTATTCACTTTTTATAGCTGTATACTTATAATTTATTATAGCTATATACTTTTATAGCCTAACTTATAATTTTTGATACCAAATATTACGAGAGATTTATATAAAAAATAGAATGTTTCTATTAAAAAATTTCAAGGTGACCTTGCCCTGATCTTGACGACGCCATTCAAGGTCAAACTGATAAAACGGTAAAAAAATATAAACCTTATATTAATCTTATATTTAAAAATTTCAAGGTGACTTATTGTCTTGATCTTGACGACGTCACTCGAAGTCAAACTGATAAAACGGTAAAAAATAGAAACCTTATACATTTATTTTTTGTCTGAAACATTTCGTTGAAAAAACTTATATTTTTTAAGATATTTTATTGTCCTCGAATGTTTTATACACACCATACAAGGCTACCCTATCTTTTTTTTATAAAAACCATTAGAAACAAACTCCTATATCCCTTCCTGAGAAGTTAGGTACATTTCTCTAAAGAGGGAGGTAAAAATTAAGTTTTTATTTTTTTTCCTCTAATTTCAGACAAATTAAAAAAATGAAACTTGGTGGATATTTTCCGTTTTTTAATTTGTTTGTTTGAGAAAAAAATAACTTAATTTCTTAAATTTAAAACACGAAATAAAACGCAAAGAGCACATTGTAGATTGGTCTTTACAAGTAACGAAAAAATCAAAATACACTTACCGGGACCAGGAATATGCCGTATAGGATCCTTTAAAACAAACTTCAATCTATGACAAGCCACATTGGGCAAACATGCTTGATACATTGCAGCCCATAAGAAGTTCCAGTCCACTCTTGTTCTGTGATTCATCACGAGTATGGCCGACTCGTACGGGGATATATGATCACCGGATACATAGATTTTTACGCCAAGTATCCTCAACAGAGCCTAAAAAAGACATATGTAAGATCCTGTATAAATTTACGTTTTTCATTAATGATCAAGACTCAAAATTGTATCTCAATAAGTAGCAAATTGACGTCATTAAATGTCAAAATGACGTCAGTTTGCTACTTGGGATCAGAGATACTATATGTGCATTATTTGAAACAAATGTATTTAAAATAAAATTAAAAATTTAAAATAAAAAATTGGAAGGCTCATATAAATTAAAAAAATTATTTAAAAATAAAATGATATTTAGGCCTACTAAACGAGCAATAAAAGCTTATGGTGTTATTTATTTATTTTGTACTTATAAACATTAAAAAACTGCAAACGTTTCGACTGTACTACAGTCTTTTTCAATACAATAATAATAAAATAAATAATGACCCACAAAATAAAATCACAAAATTAATATACAAAATAAAGACCAAATAAAAGATGCGCAAATAAAAGCGGTAAAGTCCATATTTCTATCAAATGTGGGACAAAAAATTGTAATATATAAATATTAGAATAGATGTTATAAAACGGACGGCAATAAAATATGCATATTAACAAATCTCAAATAATAACAGATGTCATGTCGTCATTATAAAACATTTTAATTGTAAAATAAGAATTATAAATCACGAATATTATAAAACGCACGAAAGCAATTGTAAAGAAGTCAAATAATTGGTCACTGGACAATAAGTTTACGTGGTCAATTATTAACAAAAATTCGTCATTTGTAAGCGAAAAATATGTTGATCGAATTGCTTATCAATAAGTCAACTATTTTTTGATAAAAAATTATATATTTCTAAAATTTGGCGACTGGACAGATGGATACAATTATGCTGTGGAAATTTTTAGAAATTAATGATCTTAATAAATTATAGGAAATGTAATTAATAAAAAAAGATATAAAATTACTTTTATTTCAAAATGTCAAATGAATACAAAGGTTCGCCCGTATAAGATGTTATGTGTATAATTAAAAGTCAGAAATAAAAGTAATATCTCAATGCGTTGGAAATATTTATATTTATCTAATTTTATAAAATCTTTCGCAATATTTTCATAAACTATGACTGAAACAATTTTCCAAGTACGTTAATAACTGCTGTCGAGCAATTCGATCTTTGTTTAAGTTAATTTTGTTTTTTATTAATATGTATCATTTCTGATATTAATCTTTTTTGATAATTTTTCTCGTGATCTATAATTTTCGCATTATTCCAATTAAATGTGTGTCTATTGTTTATAGAATATGTTCTGAGACAACCGAATGTCTTTCAGAGTCTATAGTTTTATATTATTTCTGTGCTCTTTCAGTCTGGTTCCTAATTGTCTTTTTGTCTGTCCAACATACGAAGCATTGCAATCATTGCAATTTATTTTATAAATGACATTAGAGATTTTAGGACGATCATCTTTATCCTTTTGAACCCTTATAATATTATTCAGTTTCCTAATACAACGGTATCCCACCGTTGTACCGTTTTATGTCCTTTTTATTGCTGACGTAATTATTTCTAAAATTGTTTTTATGTATGGTATGACAAAATATTTATGTTATCATCTCTAATATTACGAACATTAGTAGCATTGTTAGTATTCGTTATGTTTAATTTATTAGCTAGAAGATGTTTTAACCTTTGTTTCGTTTCCATAAAAATTAGATCAAGAGGATAATAATATATTTATGGCTATTTCTATATTATATTTTTGTGAAATCTAGGATGTGATAACAATATGGCTCTATCTATTAAATTGTATATATTGTTTCTATTTTGTGACAAATAGGATGATTTGAGAAAAATGAGAGTAATCTACCTGAAAATGTATTTTTATAAAACCAATCTAAATGAATCGTATTACATATCTATTACTTTTATGGATATGTCCAAAAAAACTTATACAACGGTTAACCTCTCGTTCTACTGTGAATTTTAATCTATTATGATAATTGTTAAACTCATCTATGACGTAAAAATTTAAAATATTTTTGTATTTTGCTTATATTTAAAATACATTTTTTTTTAGATTTGCTATATGTTGTGCTTACAATTAGATGATTTTAAAATTAACAGATAAAGATGAGATAATATAATATGTAAACTAATCTTTTAGGTAAGATAAAGATGATTTTGTTTTAAATATATGTATATCCAATATTCTATATACATTATATGTTGTACTTAGATGATTTAAATTATATAGCTAGATAAAGATGAGATGAAATTATATAAATTTATCTTAGATAAGATGAAGATATAATTTTAAATTTATAAATATATCTAAATAAAAAAGATAAAATTATATAGCAATTCATCTAGATAACTTTCAGATAATATTATTTTTAAGACCGTTTATATAAACTTAGTTATAAAAAAAATGTAAATTATAAAAATATATTTTTATTTTTATATATATATAAATATTTTAATATATATAAATATATTTTTATTTGTAAGTTTTTATCGCTCACTGCTTAAGTTCTATTTAAATATTTTTATGTGTTATGACTTTAAACCAAAATTATCTGAACATTAATTTTAAAATAATTTAGTATAAAGATACTTTTTTTCATCTAAAATGCAGATGATATAGCAGATAATACATATTTTTATTGTCTATATAAAGATAACGCCAAAAAATTTCATCGAGATAATCATCTATATAATTTTATTTAGATAACAACAAACACTGCTTACGGTAGGATAAAGTTCCCAGCACGAAAATAAGAGCTCTCCGCATTTTCGAAATCTCGGGGGATGAAACAACATCAACAGCATAAACGGACAGGCGATGAATAAAAAACCTGCTACTATGCTACCATACCACAAAGCACAGTATAGTGTACCACGTAAAATGCCACGCATTACAATCTCGAAATGGATTATCCTGAAAATAATATATATGTAATATACAGCGTGTCCTAGGAAAATTCACGAATCAAAATACTATAGTAAAAATAAAATTGTTGAAAAACTTAATTAAAACAGTATTTGCCATTTTTCACTCCAAACAGTAGTTTCCCGCACAAAAAAACTACAAGAATACGAAAAAATTACTGATATAATAATATAGTTCTTCAATAATATATTATTGGTATACCAGTAATTTTTTCATATTCTTGTAATTTTTTTTAGTAAGCGTTTTGAGGTAAAAATGTTTAAAACCGATTACAGGATTACTACCCAATGAGAAATCACTATAGTTAAAAGACGTCGAATCAACGTCTTTTACACCAAATTTAGTGTAAAAGACGTTGATTCGACGTCTTTTTAACTAGTGATTTCTCACTGCGGGATGTTAAATAAATACTACCTTTGTTCGTGAGTCGCGCGTTTTCAATAATTGCGTTTCAGGCTTCTGTGTTCGTAATCGTAATCTATATAATTTGTCAATTTTAAACATTTTTACCTTGGAAACTACTGTTTAACATAAAAAATAGTAAATACTTTTTTAATTAATTTTTTCGAGAACTTCGATGTTCTTTTGATTCGTGTAAATTTCATCCTGATATACAGGATGTCCCGAAAAGGCCCTGCAACAGTTAAATATCTCGAAAATCAAAGTTGGGTGATAACTAGTTAATTAGTTAAAAGTTAAAAAGTTCATAACTTTTACCTTAGGCTAGTTAGTTTAAAATGTAACTATATTAATTTTTTAACTTTAATTGTAGTTATATTTTTGACTTTAAACTTATTAACTTTTTTCCTAAGTTAAATTTTTTAAATCTCTGAATACCATTATTGTTTTTTATAAGTTGTAAACGTATTATTTGTAAATTAAAGTATTATTAATTATTATGTTCATTTGTCATCAACTGTAATTACCAAAAATATATTTCTATATAAAAATCAAGATTTCTTTGTTATTATAAATTTTAAAAGAATTAACAAACAAAATTCTAATTAAATATAAATAATGTTTTTAAACATTAACTTTTGATTTAATTTCAGTTAATTTAATCTTAATTTTAACTGAATTTATTTTTTGTTCATGCAACTTTTAACTTAACTAAATTAATTTTATAAGCAACAATTCTAGATAGTCTAGAGTCTAGAACATAAAACTCATAATGACATCATTAATGATGACGTCATAATTATGACGTCAATTAAAAGTCATTTTGGAAAAATCATAATGATCTCATTTGATACATTTTTGGTGACTTATTTATGATATCATATTGACTTTAATATGACCTCCAAAAAGAAGAATATTATGTAAAATTGATTGATACACGAAATTTATTTGCATTATATAATTATATTAACAATTATACATATTATTATTATAAATAACTTTTTGAATGTTATATAATGCTATTATTGGACTTAAAATCTATGATTCTTTTTGTCACTTTAAATAATTTTTTAATCATTTTTTAATTATTTTTGTTTGAGTAACTTTTAATAAATGATGAATAAAATCATGATAATGTTATTATAACGTCATTATGAGTTTTATGTTCTACCTGGGTAACTTGAACTTAACTTAGTTTTAAAAAATCATTAACTTATCCAACCCTGTCGAACACAAAGGCTTTTTTGAAATAAATATTTCAAATAATAGTTATTGTAGGGCTTTAGATTGCACTTTAAGTAATAATAATAGTGTGACTATAAATAGCACACTGTTATAAGGCCATGTAAAATTCACTTTGAAATTTTTAAATTAAGAACCCCTATTTTTGAAAGCTTTTTTCAAAAATGCTTTAGTAAAATTAAGTATTTTTTAAATTGAGTTTATGAGACTTGAAACATACAGTATTTTAAAATATAAAATATTTTGTTAAACATTCAGTTTTCAGGTAATTAATTTTATCTTAATATTTTTAAATGCAGGATAATGAGACCAATTAATTGATATAAAAAACGCACGTCTTTAAGAAAAAATATGTTGTAAATAATATATTTTTTAAAAATAATTGAGAAATGAGAACAAATTAATGAATTAAGGAAAAATATATAATATAATAAATATATTCATTAAACACATTTTTGCTATTAAAATTTTAATGTGACTTATTAAACAAAAATTAAAAAAAATATTTTCTCATATTGGAATGTAATAAAACTTCTTTGATTTTAAAAAATTTGTTCCAATTATTTAAACATTATATATATATATATATATATATATATTTCAAATATTTTTAATAAAATTACTATATATTGAAAAGAATTATTCCTGCTTATAACATTGAAATCCGACTATTCTTGAGGAATCAATGTGTAAATCAAACATTTATCTACTTTTATTATTTTAGCCACAGTTATTAAATTATTATACATTTTTTCCTATAAACCGCTAATTTCTCATCTTAAAATTCAAAATAATTTTAAAATTTGACGTGATGGAGCAATTTGGAGCAGCATTGTTTTTTTTTGCTGAAATTTAGCTGAAAATTTATAAGAAACACGCCTCTTCTGATTAGATATAGTTACTTGACAAATTTGTGTGTGTTCACCTGTTGTTTTATACATAAAAGTATTAAGATGCACGTAAAATTATCGAAAACTAAATATTTTACAGGCTATTTTGTATTTTATGTTAAAATATTGTAAGCTTCAAGTATTATAATTCGGAAAGCACTGAATAAAAAATACTTTATTACATTTTTGAAAAGCTCTCGAAACTGAAGCTTTACAAATTTTATAAATATTTATTTCAAAAAGTCTTTCTTTTCGAGATATTTAATTAACTATTGCAGGACTATTGGGACATCCTGTATAAATTATATATCCGAGTACAAAATTTTTGATTTTATATAAATTTTTGATTTTAAACATGATTCAGGATTTTTGTCACTTTTTATTTATGCTGAGAAATTGTTCATTCTCCGAGGACAATTATTATAACACAACGATTTGACACAAGAACACACACACACACAAAACGAAATAAAGAGATTCAAATTGACTTTTTGCGTCCTCTTTTGGACCAGAGATGGCAAAAAATATTCACATATATTAAAGGACAAAACTTTTTAGAAACTTACTTTCACATGTGCACTTTACGATTGAAGCACCTCTTATGAACATTGGATCTCCACTGTTTCCTTCGAAAACATTGTGTCTTTACTGGCTTCTTCTTGATTTTATTACAGGCTTCTCCTTGCTACCCCTTTCGCCCTCACTCTCTGTCTGGACTCTCTACCAGTTGAGTTGGTAGATGCTGTGCTGAACCATTATTGATCTGTCGAGTACAGGAGGGCTGTACCATCTCGATAAAAAAGATTGGAGAGCTCTTCCCTGGCAAACTCAACTATTTTTTATATTATTTTATATTTTTATTCTCTGCTAGTTTGTTTTATACACAATAAAATGTGCGAGAATTAATTAATATATTAGCAGTATGTTTTTTGTATTATTTTCAATTACTTTAATTATTATGCTCTCTTTCAAGTATGTTTTGACCTTTCGACCTTCAAAATAAATTAAATTATTTATACGTATAATTTATATTTTACTAACTTTTAATATTACTTACTAAAGCTTCTAAATGTGAGGTAAATATTCAATTTAAATATGTTAAATGCGCAACAGTTAAATGCGAATATATAAGTCAATTTCCCGATTCGACTTGATATTTTTTCTTACCTATACTTTTATAGAGAAACGAGAAATTATCAATTTCTCGAATTAACAATGATTAAAAATTAAATATTCTTAATATAAAAATTATTTTAAATGATACTATACCAACAAAAATTTGTGTCTTGAGTACTATTAATTTTTGATGAACAAAATTAATTTCATCAAAATATCCCCGTTTGGCTCTTGCGTTTATTTATTTTAATATATAGATATATATTTAAATTTTTTGAATTTTAATTTAATTTTTAATAAATACAATTTTCTTATATCAATTTTATAAAAAAAATAGATTTAAACGACAAAATTTACATTAAAATTATTTCTATATGCATTAATTTTTAGAGAAACATAAACTTTGAAATTTTTTCACTTTTTTTATCTTAAAAAATAAAAATATTTTTTAAATACTAAAATATTTATTTTTAACAATATATATTATATACTATTTATATATTTATTATTTATATATTCAAGTTCATATTAAACATTTTTGGACGCGAATTGAAATATCGCAAATATTTATAATTATATAGAGTAGAGGGAAAAAGGAAAGAAAAAGAGGAGAATAAGGAAGAACATAAAAAATAATTTGCACATTTATTATATATTACTTTTATTAGGAAATAAGATAATTAAAAAGATAAAACCATAATTATAATTTGATAATTTTAAAAAATATAAAATACGTATAATAAAACGCACAATAGGCCCAATATTTAGATGATAAAATTATCCAACAAAATTTTAAAATGTATTTTTCTAGTATTTCATTATAAACTTGTTCTCTATATATAAAATATTTCATACTATTTTATACTTTTAAAGTAAAGACATGTAATAGCCATTTTGAAGAATTTTATATAAAAGTTTAGTGATGATAAAATTATTATGTTTCTGTCCGTATAACTATAAAATTGCTTGTATATTTCTTTTCCTATCTTCCTGTCCCTTGCTTATATTTAGCTATAAATTGTTTATGTGTATCACATAATTAATATTAAGAAAATAAAGAGAAAAAGAGAGAGAGAAAATATGACTATCTAGATCTATTGAAACTCCCTTATTACTGATATCCCGAATATTTGAGAAGAAGTTGATGAGCCTCGCTTTGTGTCTTTTCATCATCTTTGCTAGCAACTGATAAGTCGCAAATTTTGTTCAACCAATCGCAAGCCAATTCGTACTTGCTCAACGCTATGTAACATTTGCTTAAAAATAGTCGATTCTCCAGATTTACTTCGACTGAAAAGTTCTCCGCTTTCTGGAAGCTATCAATTGCATCTTCGAATGAGGCACTTGGTGGCTCCGAGAATAATGTTGTGGCGACCTGAAAATAACACAAATTTATATATTGTATGTAAACAGGGAGGAGCAACTCGCAAAGTGCTTTATGAAAACATATTTTATTATATAGTGTTTTGGAAAGATCTCGACATCAGCTATAAAAATATGTAATAAAAAATAGGGGGTTCCATTTAAAATTTTTGTTGACTTTGGCTGTTTTTCAAGGTCAAACAGATATAATCACTAAATAGTTCCTTTTAAGCGCTACTCTTTTTGTTTGAAACCTTTTTTTTATTAAATCAATATTTTCTGAGATAATAATAAGAATATTTTAAGTCGGCTCCTTAATTTTAAAACCACAATCCACAATTCATTCCTCTCGACTAATAGAGCCACACACGATGTTATTGCGACAATTAAGAAAGAAAATTTGGAAACTAAGGAATTTGAATCCTATGGTTGGGATCTCAGAAATTCCCCTTGTTCCTTCTCTTAACTTCCCCTTAGTTTCCAAATTTTCTTTCTTAATTGTCGCAATAACATCGTGTGTGGCTCTATTGGTCGAGAGGAATAAAGTGTAGATTGTGATTTTCTGAGATATTTTGCCGTTCCGGAACTTTTGCCCCTCCCTGTATATAGTGTTTGCTGTTATCTAAAGAAAATTATATAGATGATCATCTAGATGAAATTTTGATGTCATCCTTGTATAGATAATAAAAATATGTATTATCTGTATCTTAGATAAAAAAAGTATTATTTTTTACTAAATTATTTAGAACAATATTCAGACAATGATTGATTTAAAGTCGTAACACATGAAAATATTTAAGTAGTAGAACTTGAGCGATAAAACTTATAAATAAAAATATGAATATTTATTAATATGAATATTTTTATATTCCTTTTATAATTTGCATTTTTTTATAATTGTTTTTACATAAACAGTCTTTAAAAAAATATCTGGAAGTTATCTAGATGAGTTGCTATATAATTTTATCTTTTATCTAGCTATATTTAAAATTATTTTCATCTTATCTACGATAAATTTACATATTTTCATATCAACTTTATCTATTTAATTTAAAAATCATTTAAGCACAACATTGTGTGTATATTAAAATAAAATGTCAAAATAAATCTGACAAAAAGAGAATATTGGTTCCCTTGACATGGTATGTTCGATAGTCATATTTTATCCGAAAAAAAGTACATCTAATAAGGGACATTTTGTATATTTAACATTATGTGAGCTATTAAAAATTAATGTATACCTTTCTCTCTATCCAACCTAAGTTAGCCACCTCATATCTGAATCTGCCAAGTAAATGATGTAGATCAGCGTCATCTGGACGTATTTCTAAGGCCTTCATTACATGTTCCTTGAAACGGTAACCGTTCTTTATTCTCTCTGATATTGGTAAAAATTCACCGTACACACCCACGAGTATAGCATACCATTTATGCAGATACGCATCTGATATAGTGAGAAGCTTTTCACAGGCATTGATTCCTAAGAAAGTAATTATTAATAATTAAGTACTTCCATTCGTAATTTGTATATAATAAATTCAATTACATACCTGCGCAGATTATATTTTTTTTTGCATTTGGATCAGGGATGCAATTCGAATATTTGTAACAACTTCTGGCATATCTCCATACTACATCTACATTATCCGGATAACTGTCTGTGTAATTTCGTAGCTCGAGATAATCATCTTCTTCATGTCCCTCCTGATGATGATGTACATCAAAGGTGTACAGGTCTAATCCAAGGTAGGTGGCTTCAGTTGTCCTGCATCACTAAGCACATAATGAAACCTTTTCCTTTTAAGTTTTGAAAATTGTGATTTTTGCAAGGAAAAGAAAACTGAGATTTTTCTGAACTTATAGGTCATTTTTATGTAAATATTGTCCAAATTGTAAGTCTAACAATAAGTGAATATATACAAAAATATCCTTTATAAATTAAATTTGAGATTCTGATATAATAGATGTCAACGATAAATGTATAAATAATAAACTGACCTTTCAATGTCACTTATATTATTTTCGCTATCTGAGCAATCAAAAAATTCATCATCACCAATATCTGTGGCAGCTGTTGAAAAGCCATCAGTATCATTATCCGTTACAGCAGTTAATGTATTATCATTATCATGTTTACGACTAATCTTCTTCTTCCTCTGTTGACCCTGTTGCACTCTAAAATAAGACAAAGAATCATGTATCATTATGATCAATTCTCAATAAAAAATAAGTAGATAAAGAATCATATATCATTTTATGATCAATTCTCAATAAAAAAATAAGTAGAATATTCTGAAAAGATTTGAATAAATTCTACCAATATATCTCTCACTAATTACGAAGATGAAAAATTATTATGTAACATATAAATTCCTGAATATACTTTTCCAAACATAGACATTGAAAATTACAATTTCTACAAAATAACAGAAAAAATCTAATATCTATATAGATTTATAATTATCACACACATTTAATTAATCATAATACAGTATTTAACAGAATATTTTAAATATGTTTTCTATACAATATAATAATTTTTTTATTATATTATATATATATATATATATATATAAAAAATATATATATACATTAATTAGAGCAAAGAGCTAATGGTACTTATTGTTACCTCAATCTTTCTAATTCTGTTTGTAATTCCGTAAGGCGACGATCAACTTCGTCTAAGTGAGCATTTTTCATAGCATGTTGTTGTTTCTCCAAAACTTTCTGGTAAATGAAGATACTAGCTGCACTTATAACACCGATAGTTGCCCCAATAGCAGCAGCGATTAGATGAGTCTGCAACTGACTCATTTTGACTGCAAGAACTTCTTATTTAAAAATGTGCTTTGATGCGGTCTGAAAACACAAAGATATATTACATCAACAAACCAAAGTAGCAAACTAACGTCATTAAACGTCAAAATTGTCATTTTGACGTTTAATGACGTTATTTGACATTTAATGACGTTTAATGACATACGCTTGCTACCTGGAAAGTTCCAATAATTTTACTTGAAGATTTTCTTACACTGGACAGTGCGTACTCACTTGTGTAGGCAAATAAGATCCGGATAGCTCAAATTCACTGTGAATAATCACAATCTGCTAGAGTGACGTCTCATATCCTGATAATGTGTACTCTTGATGACGTTCTGATAAGGTATATTATAATATAGTTACAATAAATTTACAACAAATTCTCATATTAGAATATGAATGTGTGCGTATTTACAAGCCTTGTAAGCGAAATTCGACCTGGACGAGCAGTTTATCATACCCTGACGATCTTATCGCACTACTCGGCATCAATAATGCCCTATTTGTGCTAAGTTTTTCCGTCCTCGGTATCCAACCCCGATGAACCCCAAAATTAACCGTCGTATTAGACGAAGAGCTACTTGAAGGTGTGCCACGTGTTATCTCTCTTCATAAAAATGCAGCAGTGACAAACGTATCGCGCATATCGCATGTCATGGTTAAAGGGCAATCGCGATACATATGCTAACCGTCTCGTAGGCAAAATAAATTATCATATTTTCTCTTCTTTCAACACACCTGAGATACCCCTCCCTCTCTCTCTTTCTCCCTCTCTCCCGATTTTTCTCTCTCCATCATTTATTTGACCTTTCGAATCGATTTTCTTGAAATTTTTTAATTCACTAATTTTTAGTCATATTTAGTCATATATATTTCTACTGTATCGAATATTAGATCAATCAACTTCTGATGCACGAGATTTTGTTACAGATGTGATCAGATGCTGAAACGTCAAATATTCGTCGGTATGAGAAAAATGTTGAAATCATCACCGTTTTCTTTTTTTAAATTAGAAAACCGCGCCGATTTACCATTATCGATGTTTGGTGTTTTGTTCTTGCTGATTTCGCGAGAATTATAAGTGAATAGAAGTAATCAAAATGCTATTTTGAGCATTAAGGGTCGGCAGTACACCCAGGCAAACTCCGAATTGATATTGGAGACCTCGTGCGGTGACAACGCGAAACTCCGGTTTCAGTGTTGCCAACGCCGAGAAACCAATTCTCGGGTTTTATGTAGTGGTGTATGTCTGTACACGTACATACACCAACTGCATCGCTCACGCGGACGCACGTAAGAGAGACAAGGACCGATAATCACGTGTTCTCCTTGTTCATCTACCGTGCCGGTATACGCGAGATGCCGCCTGAAAATGCTTTCTGGCCTTCCGTAGCAGAAAGCAGTAACGTAGCAAGACTAATAAGCACCCACTTTTTGGAAATTGTATATATGGTTATGCACATATGTGCATAACGTATATATAACATATATATATATATATATATATATATATATATATTATATAAGGGATATGTTGATTATATTCTTGATTTCTTTTTGATCATTGATGCTATTGTATAATTTGCTCCAAATACTTATAACGTGAAAGAACGTTGAGTAATGTATAATCAATGCAAGGATGTTCAGTATATCATCCAGTATATAAATTAGAGTTCAAATATATCAATATCAATTTTTATATAATATATATATATATATATTAGAATATAGAAAAATGATAAAAAAATATATTTCGGCGATTAAAAAATTTTTTAATATATTGAAAATATTTTTACTACATACACTATATATAAGTGTAAAATAATTCAGAAAATAAATTTAATAAAAATCTACATACCAGCTGTGTGCATGTGTGCAATTGATTTATTACTTGAAATTTATTTACGGAATTATTTTGCATTTATATATTTATAGTATGTGTAGTTGTAAAATGATTAAAATATTTTCAATATAAAATTTTTAAGTTTATCGCCTATATAAAAAATATATTTCTATGATTTTCTATATTCCAATATATTATAAAAAAATTGATATTGATATATTTGAACTCAAGTTTTTTACGTGATTAAATATTCTTGCATTGAGCCATCATACGTTACTCGTAAGTTCTTTCACGTCATAAGTACTTATGTAGCAGAGAGAAAGAAATGAGAGTTATACAATGTAACATCAATAATCTTATATATTATAATCTTATATATTATATATATATAATATTTCATTTATTTATAAAAAACATTTTATAAATAAGTAAAATATTATACAGACAATGTACAAGATGTTCAGTTTGTGCCATAACAAGCTTTAATCAATAATTATTACTCCAATGAGTATAATTCACAATAATTTTTATATAATATAATAAGTAATTGAATATATAAAAATATTTTTAAAAATTTGTTTTAAAAATTAATTGAAAAAGAATATTTAAAATATTTTTTTATATTTAAAATATTCTTTTCCTCAATTAATCTTAAAAAAAATATTTTTAAATATTTAAAAATATTTAAAAATACTATATATTATATAAAAATAATTGTTGATTATTATATTGGATTATTAATTGAATGAAGCTAGAGCTTTTAATATGGCTTTTAATACTGCTTGACAAGGAGAGAGCATCATTCCATCTTTGTCTCTCTTACATCGCATATGTAGTAGCGTCCATGTAGGTACAAACACTAAAAAATATTAAATTTAATTTTTTTATTGTTTTGAATAATTTTATCATTAATATACTTATTTTCAGAACTATTTCAATTTTTATTTCATACTTATGTTTATATAAATTATAAATTAAAAACATATCAAAAATGTAATACATATTAATAAAATGCAAATACATATAGAAAATTAATTATAAAATGTCATCTTAAAATAGTTTTTATTTTTGTTCTTTATTTACATATGCATACATATACAAAAAAATAAAAATAATATGATAGCCTTTTTGCTGACATTATCTCTCAATATTTGCATCCGTGTGCTCACGTATTAGTGTTTGTACCTACATGGACGCTACTACATATGCGATGTAAGAGAGACAAAGATGGAATGATGCTCTCTCCTTGTCAAGCAGTCAGCATGTTACCACAGAAATTTCCCCTGCTCCTTATGAATCTAGTGAGAATCTTATCGTCCAGATATTTCATAAAATAAGTGACATAACTTCGTGAATTTTTTTTTAATATATTCTTTATATAATAAAGCAGTCCTCTAAAAGGCCGGATTTTACATTTTCGCTCTTAAAAATTTATAATAAATAAAATACGGACTCGCGGCTAACCCAACCTTACCCGTTCCTAGCTGTGCATTCCCCCAAGTTTATTAAAAATTTTTATTTTTATCTTTTTTTCATAAAATAGCTCTTTAGAGGACTACAAATGAGCTTACTGATTAAGAATATCCTAAATTTAATAAGATTCATTCAATATTTTCGCTAATATCTGGAAAATAAGAATCCGTAATTCCCGGCCGGCCGATAGGCGTCTCCACCATGTCGCCTGCCGACCCTTAATAATCTATTTTTCACGCCGGCTGATATACGACTGTATTATAGTGACACAAATCTATAGTCTGTTCTTTTTAGTTGTACTAATATAATTCAGATTCAAAGTTTATCTTTTTTCTTCCAATGTGGAGCAAAAAGGATAAACTCTGAACCGGTGCAGCTAAAAAGAACAGTTAAATGAAAAGTATCCATTAAAGTCACTAAATCCAACCAATCATATCGACTGGTGCCTACACGTGATTGGCCACATTCGACGGAATCAACTTTAGGCACAGTATAACCATACCCAGTAGCGACAGTGAGCGTCGGCACCTTTGATGTAGTATGTCTCAACTCGGCAACGTCACGTGGTATGCCGCCATATTGCTAAGGGTAACGGGCGCTACGATTCAAATGTATGTACACACGGGGATAGGAATGCTTTTTTGAAGTTACACGCATATTGGACATAATCCAACATGCTTCAATATTTTGATATTTGTGTTATGACTATAGATATTCGATAACACTGTCTCAGTAAAATATTAAAATAATATATAAAGATATAATATATAAATAAAATATTATAAACAAATATAAATATATTAAGCTGTGAAGCACGTAATTGAGTTATGTCCGATATATGTGTAACTTTATATGTAGAGGCATTCTTCCATTTCTTGTATATATACATATGTAATAAAAAATAATATCTTTTAATATGTAATTCAAATTTTATAATTCAAGTTATATTCAAAGAATTTATTAAAGAAAAAATATTTCTGCATAGATTCCTTCCTAAAAAAATAATATCGAGCTAATTATCTTATTACGCGATTTCTAGCACTACACAACCTTAGAACATATATTACTGGAAGGGGAATAAAAGATCGAGCCTGTGTCCAAGTTGGGTGCGAGAGAGAACCACGTTTTTAAGGAAAGAGAAGGGTAGATTGTTACCTCCGTTCGCAATGCGCAAACGCGAATTAGCGAAAGCACCAATTACATTTCCAGTTTCAAATGGCGCGGTGAGCGTGACGTCACCATGACGTCATCTACGTTTGCGCATTGCGAGCATAGGTTAAAAGCTATCTTTCTCTCTCGCACCCAACTTGGACACAGATTTTTACATGGAGAACAATAGCAATTCCCCTTCCAGTAATATATGTTCTAAGGATTATACTGTGCTTTAGGGCCTGAGCAGAATGGCTGACTTATAACCTTAAAACACTGTTTTATGCCCTAAGTCTTTGTCTTAGGTAACGCACAATACTGTGTTAATGTTTCCTGTCTTGTGTAGTATACGCGACGTTTTAAGGAATAAACGTAAAACGTATGTATATGTATAAACACAAATAACAATTCTATTATACAATTAATAATGAATATTTTATAAATAGTTATGACATAATACATTTTAAACTTATAAATATGTAATAATAATATTTCATATTCGAAATATATTTCAATAACTGTGAATATAACCTAACTTTTTTGTTCAAAGAAATTTATCTAATGTACTTATAAATAAAATGTTCTATTAAATTAAATATTATTTGATTTAATAGTATTATATATGTTTAAAAATCTTGTTAATTATTAAATTTGTATAATATTTAATTTAATTTATTTTACAGAAAACAATTTTAATTTCAGGTATATTAAAATGATGTATAGAAATAAGCAATTTTTATTGCTTGTTTTACAATGGATGCTTTTGTATAAATTATTAAAACGAAAAAAAAAAACAAATTAGATGGTATAAAAGAAGATGGTACGTGCGACCAATAAACCAACTGAGATACAAATACGGAGATTATGAGACACTTTACCAAGAATTAAAAAATGATACATATTTATTTTTTTGTTATACGAGAATGAATTTATGTTTATTTAACAAATTACTTCAATTAACTGAACCTCATTTAACAAAAAATAGCTATCGAGCATTTCCTGCAGAACAGAGATTGATAATAGTATTAAGGTAATTATAAGTAATTCTTTTTTTTATTATTTTTTTTTCAAAATAATTAAATCTTGTAGAAATAACAATAAAAAAGAAATTTTATTAAAGTAACAAAGACAGATTCTGATAGACTAAAACAGGTATTCTAGACTAAATATAAATGTTGAATAATATATTAAATAGTATTAATAGTATTTTATTTTTGTCAGATATACAAAAATTGCCTAAAATAATTATTACTCGAAACATGCTTTAATAGAGAATGAGAGAGAGAGAGAGAGAGAAATGGAAAATTAATAATCTTTTTATAATAAATAATATTAATAACATAGATATTTTAATAAAAATGTATTTCAGATATCTTGCCACTGGAGATCTTCCTTTGTCTATCGCTCTATCATTTCGAATTGGTGAATCAACAATGCGTATGTTAATTAAAGAAGTATGTCAGATATTAATAAATGTATTACAACCACTGTATCTATCACAACCAAATGAAGAAGAATGGAAGTCGTATGCTGAAGGATTTTGGAAGAGGTGGAATGTGCCAAATTGCATAGAGGCAGTAGACGGAAAACACATTACCTTGCAATGTCCCCCTAATTCGGGAAGTCTTTTTTATAATTACAAAAAATATTATAGTATTGTTTTGATGGCAGTGGCAAACCACGTATATAGATTTACGTTAGTTGATGTTGGTGCATACGGTGGTAACAGCGATGGCGGAATTTTTAACGATTCATTAATTGGGGAAAATTTAAAAAATGAAAACTTAAATCTACCAAAGGAAACATTCAAATTACCTGGAAGTCAAATCTGTACACCAACTTTTTTATTGGCAGACGATGCTTTTGCATTAAATACGAGAATTATGAAGCCATATACCGGAAGAAATTTAAATGAAGAACAAAAAATATGCAATTATAGATTTTCTCGAGCTAGGCGAACAGTCGAAAGCGCCTTTGGAATATTTTCTAATAGATGGAGAATATTTCGACAATCCATTTGTATGCTGCCAAAAACAGCCGATTTGATAACAACAGCATCGCTCTGCTTACATAATTTTGTAATGGTTGAAGAAGAACGCTGTAAACTAAAGTTATACAGCACAACTGAATTTCTTGAAAACGATAGAAATAATCAGGTAAAATAAACATTAAAATATTTTTATTCTGCAGATAATATATATATATATATATATAAATTAAGTTATATATATATATATATATATATATATATATATATATAACTTAATTTTGTGTTTAAACTTTTGATAAATTAAAAAAATTTTAATATTAATAATTAATATAATAAAATAATTAAATAAATGCAGATACATTATGTGTATATAATATTGTTATTAAAATATTAATTACTGTATATTTTAAATTTAATTAACCATACTATTTTTATTTATAAAGGATATGCAGTGGTTGTCTTTTTCGGAAAACCTATGTTATAATGAACCCGTATCTTCTGCTTCGAAACAAAGAGACACATTGTGTAAATATTTCATATCACCTGAAGGAGAAGTACCGTGGCAATACGATTACGTGCGAAGAGGTACATATGGTGAAAATATTTAATAATATAAAAATAATGGTTTCTATACACATACATTTAATTTTCGGTTATTTATTTAATCTTATTTTTTCTAATAAAATGTTAGTATAAAAAAAAATGTGTTCAAGAATTATATAGCTTGATATTTTTTAGTAGCTTTTTGACAACATAATTTCTAAACTGAGCTCTACTTAAGTAAAAAAATGAATAAGATAAAGTTGGAATCTTTATATAGTTCTTGTGTTATATATAATTAGAATTTGACAATAATGCCGTACCGATCTTGCATATTGTTATATGTAAAGTTTATATACCGATTATCTCCTTACTGCTAGATCAATTAATATTAATTTCTACAACCTAATTAACATTATTTTCTGAAAGTTTATACATTGCAGCAATTAAGAAAAGTTTTCTTAATAGTGAATTGTCATTACAAGCAAAATATTAATGCGCATAGTATTACTTATATTTAATAATTATTTTTTTATTTATTAATGAAAGTCATTTATATATTTTGTTTTTATTATTTGTCTTTAGTCATACGGCATAATGTTTCAACTATATTGTTACAATTTTACAATAAAGCTTTAAAGTTGATCTAAGTTGATGTGTATCTAGTAATAAAGATCTATGTAAATAACAACAAATACCACAAATCGAATTTTTTTATATAATAATTATATAATTAGCAAGATATACATTACAAATGTATACAAATGAAGCAATTAAATAATAAACATAGTTCATAAGGAAAGTGCTTTAGAACTATTAATGCACATACAAATTAATAAGTAAATAAAAATAATAAAATCATAACGTCTCACTTTTAAAAAAACAAAATAGTACATATATTAAAAACATTATTTTTCTTAAATTACCTTTTAAGATCTTATATCACATGTAACAGTTTTAATAATATCACATATATAGTATAGTATAGTTAATATAATAATTGAAGATCACATATCAGATCATCTATCACATATCTATCCATCTATCTAAGATCACCTATCACATAAATAAAAAATCTTAAACAAAAATATTGCTTTGCGTATTAAATAATAAAATTAAATTAGATTTAAAAAACAATGTAACTGAAAATATTATTTTAAACTTAAAATTTTACTTAAAAGAAACAGTCTTTTTTATAATATCACATATAGTAATGTATCACATATTGTAATAAAAAATACTTTACTAATAAAAAATAAAAATAATTTATAAAAAAATAAAAATCATTAAAAACAAAAAATATTACATTTGCTTTATATTGGAGAAAATAAAGCATCTGTTATCATTTTCTTTCTTATATTTTTCTCAGATTGTGGAAGATTTGTCAAGTGAGCAACAATAAATTGTGTAAATGCTTCATCTTCATTATTGTTTTCACGTTTGTTATCTAAAACATTGATGATTTTCTGGCTAACCGATGTAAATATATTTTCTAATTCCTTTGTTTCATCGACTTTACTTTTTTTAGATTTAGGTTTTGTATGTAATACATATAATTGTGAATCTTTGTCAATGTTGCGTTTATGTGTTACATGTGCTTCAAGAGTATCTTCTAAAATATTTTCTTTATTTTCACCATTAAAATTATTATCTTCTGTTTCGTGCATAGAATGACTTGATTTTTCTTTGGTATCAAATACTTCATTCGAACTAGATTGTGGAATTTCTGTTGATAGTTCTAAAGATGATGTAGATGTTGAAGTTTTATTTGCTTTTATATTACTGCATGTTCTGAAAATATAAGAATATATAAGTATATATACATATTATACAATTAAAATGTGGATTTTCAAGCAATTATCATTATAAACCTTCGTCTCTTGATATAATTGTCAAGAAAAGATAATTGCGTATAAAATGTGAAGGGTTTATGAGTTGAAGCACCACTTCCACTCTTATATTGACTATCTATTATTCGTTTCTCACGATTATATTGATTTCTAAGAGATGTGCATCTAGTTTGACAATAATCAGGTGTATAAAAGTTGCCTGTAAAAATGTTGAGATTTTATCATTATAATTAGCATAATATATTAGTAATAAGACATAATAAGAAATATTAATAAAAAATATTTGATATTTACCATAATTTTTATTTTGCATTATTTTAGAAATTTCTTTCCAAGCATTATCTTTAATTATTATATTTTTAAAATCTTTGTGTCCTTTATTGTACAGAAATGGACGTTCTCTATATAATTCAATTAGAAAAGCATCACCATCTTTTTCTTCTATAGAAATATTATTTTCATTTTCATTTGACACTTTATTGTCTGTATAATATGTATTATTAAGTTCACAATAGTGATAATCTTCCATTTTAACTAAAAGGAATTAATAAAAGGATATAGATAACATTAGATAATATATGTATACATACATATAGATTTTGTTAAATGTTATACAAAAATAATTAACAAAATTTTTAAACATATATAATACTATTAAATCAAATAATATTTATTTAATAGAACATTTTATTTATAAGTACATTAGATAAATTTCTTTGAACAAAAAAGTTAGGTTATATTCACAGTTATTGAAATATATTTCGAATATGAAATATTATTATTACATATTTATAAGTTTAAAATGTATTATGTCATAACTATTTATAAAATATTCATTATTAATTGTATAATAGAATTGTTATTTGTGTTTATACATAAACATACGTTTTACGTTTATTCCTTAAAACGTCGCGTATACTACACAAGACAGGAAACATTAACACAGTATTGTGCGTTACCTAAGACAAAGACTTAGGGCATAAAACAGTGTTTTAAGGTTATAAGTCAGCCATTCTGCTCAGGCCCTTAGGTTTGTTCGCGTCGCATGCCCTAACATGTTCCTTTTTACTCCAATGCGCTTGTATTAATGCGCTCCTCGAATTGGACCAATACGAGCGCATTGAAGTAAAAAAGGAGCAAGTTGGGGCAGTATGTTATCACCGACCGAATACGAATATTTAGTTTTTTTTTAAATAACTTTTTATTGACTATACTGATCAATAAATCCTTTCCCACGATTAAAATACTTATAAAAATGGACCGCGTTAGCTAGGATTGCATATATAAATCATATAAAAATAAAAAATTACAGTTTTGTTATCGACTTCTTTGTGTCAGTTCGTAACAATACTTATTTAATAAAAAAGTTCTGCAGTTTGTCTGTGCATGAAATATAGTATATGCAGTAAGGATAATATGAAGAATTATTAGTAAACGATTAAAAGTAAGATTGCAAGTCTAATAAAAAAGTTATATATTAAAAACATTTTTACGCATATGTGTTGTATATGTGCATATGTTTAGATATGTGTGGTGCATGGTCGTATACACCGTATACACCGTATACGACCGTGGTGTGGTGCTAACTTATCATGTGTATACGTGCATATGTTTAGATATGTGTGGTGCTAACCTATCGGCCGTCGCTCCGGCATCCCCTTAACATCATAAATGACATCGGAAAATTTAATAATGTTGCCCAACTTGAGGTCCGTATTTAAGGCTCGTATTTATAGTCAGTTTTATAGATGTTAGCCTTACATTTATAGAAATAAGCCTTAAGTCGTAAGCAATAAAAGCGGAAAGCACACACTTTTACATAGACGCATAAGCGTAAACATGAGAATCTTGATTGGTCTATAAACGTTAAAAGTATAAAGCGGGGAGCACACACTCTTGCATAAGCGCATAAGCATATGCATAAGAAATTTGATTGGTTGAATTTCTTATGCATACGTTTATAGACTAATCAAGAGTCTCATGTTTACGCTTATGCGCCTATGCAAAAGTGTGTGCTTCCCGCTTAAAAGTTATTTAACCAATCGAATTTCTTATGCATATGCTTATGCGCTTATGCAAGAGTGTGTGCTCCCCGCTAAACCAATCAGATTCGATTACTGCAGATGTGGCCTCAATGTGAGATAAATTTTTCGTTTTTAAAACTAATAATAAGGCCGGATCTACAACAGGGGGTCAATTGTGTAATTTTTCACTTTTCACATTTTCACTTTAGAAAAAGTTACACAATCGACGCCCAGGTGTAGTAAGCTCTAAAGCGGGGAGCACACACTTTTGCATAGGCGCATAAACGTAAACATAAGAATCTTGATTGGTCTATGAACGTATGCATAAAAAATTCAACCAATCGAATTTCTTATGCAAATGCTTATGCGCTTATGTAAGAGTGTGTGCTCCCCGCTTAAGCTTTAAGGGTCGGCAGTACACCCAGGCAAACTCCGAATTGATATTGGAGACCTCGTGCGGTGACAACGCGAAACTCCGGTTTCAGTGTTGCCAACGCCGAGAAACCAATTCTCGGGTTTTATGTAGTGGTGTATGTCTGTATACGTACATACACCACTGCATCGCTCACGCGGACGCACGTAAGAGAGACAAGGACCGATAATCACGTGTTCTCCTTGTTCCTCTACCGTGCCGGTATACGCGAGATGCCGCCTGAAAATGCTTTCAGGGGATCGATTGTCTATTTGTGTCGATTTTTCTCACTTTTTGCACATTCATTTCACGTGAAGAAATACACGCGATTGGCTATGAGCAAGATGAAAATACAATATCCCTAGATTCACGGGAGCACAAACCATAGTGAACATTTCGTAAAGCGTATATGCATGCATATATGGGTGCATTCGTTTATGCAGCGATTAGCGCATCCACTGCGCATCTACTGCGTCTATTATCTGCGAGTCACGTGACATCATTTACCGAACGATCACCTGCGTGAATTGACTGCTCAGATTGTAATTGGAGTGCGTAAGTAAAGAAATTTTAAATAAATATGAATTAACTCAGAAATAAATATTTTTTATTGGCTCTCAATATAAACAATATAAATATGATGGTTTCTAAATTGGCCTAAGAGCCATAGCACGAAAAATTACGAAAATTAATTATTCGGAACTGTATTCCTTGGTACGAGATTACTAAAGTTCCATATATTAATTAACCTCGAACTTACATATGGAGAAATAGGCGCGAAAAATATAGGTCCGAAAAGTCGCTGAAGCGGGAATCAAAC